CCCCCCCTGTTTTTTTCAGCGTTTCCAATTCCGTCGATCCGTAAGAAGAAGGCTGCTCTATTTTTGAGTTAAATTTTCCGAGTTGGATCTGGGAATTGAAATTTTCATTTTATCAACCGGAATTATTCAAACCGCAAGAAACCACCTAAAGTGAGAGACAAGATGCACTCAAAACACACCAAAAATGCCGAGTAAAAGGGCCGTTTTAATCCTTCCAAAATATTGTTCCAAAGTTCCAAAACTCCAACTACAGTATTTGGAACTTGTACGGAGGCGTTCCTCCAAATTTCTTAAAAAAATTTGGAACGAACCTGAGCCCGATAATTGTTCGAAACCAGTAGCTTCCAAACGTTTGGAAGTTTTCCGAAGTTGTGGAGAATCGGTACTACATCCCCAGCCAAGGGCGCCACAGGCCGTACCACAAGGGCTGGGTAACAGCATAGCTGTGTCTCGGTGGACAGCAGAAGACTTGGTGTGACTCCTGTTGCAGCGCTTTTTCTCGATCGAGAGGAGATATTCCAGACGAGGTGCACGCAGCAGCGATCCCACCGCGACAGCACAGGGCTGAGCATAGGGGTGGTCATGTCGATGCTCGTTCATGGCCTTGTTCCCAAGACGCAGCAGGCTGTTTTCGAGCCACGGTACCTAAATGTGGAAGAGCACACACTTGCGTGCTTCCTTGCGGACATCTGTAGGTGGCGACACTCTCGAGGATGGACGTACTGCTGTACGCATCGATGACCGAGTACGCGTTCAACAACTGATGTCTATACCCTGGAGCACAAGGATGACTACCAGGCAAGTGGGCAGAGAGGGGGGGAGACGGACATGCCCTGTTTGTCTCGAGTAACCCGTTTTCGCTTGGGTTTCCCGGCCCCCTGCTTTTATACTACTGCTGTTTGTGGTCTTTTCCTGTACTACTGCTGTAAACTGCTGCGTGCTGCTGTGGGGAACTGACACACCTGCTCCGGTTGTACCTTACATATGCGACATCCGTGCGGGTATCAATTGAACATCCGCTTCCCGTTGTCACGCTGGCTACAAATGGCAGCCTCTTCTACCGAGGCTCGACCTTTGTACCACTTGGCATCAGCATTGGTCCATCGGTTGTTTGGTGCCTTTGTTCTTTTACGCTCCTGTATCTGTATTGGTTGTTGTTGTTCATCGAACACGCTGGCTGCTGTTGCATCGGATCATGCGCAGGAACATTCAACGGCTTTGGTGCGCTGTCCAAGATTCGTTCGCTTTCGCCGACTCGAGGCGGATATTGCTGAGAGCTTCGTCCTTTGATGAAACAGTGCTGTTTGACATTGCGGAGGGGCTGACTTTCGTGTCCCATGGCACCAATGACGGACCATTCTATGCACACGTGCCTGGCGAATCTACTGCTGCTATGCAGGTATGTGCGTTTCAACCTATGCACTGATGTGACCTCTTGAGCCAACCCGTGCAAAGCGTTGTTGTGAACGAACACGTGAAATTGTCGGCATTTGGCAGCACAAGGGGTCAGTTGTGTTAAATACACCAGCAGTATAGGAACGTTCGTTGACGGCGATGTACTGTAGATTCGAAACACCTTACTGGTGTACGACCTGCTCGTGTAGCCCACCTTTGAGTCGACTATGTAGGGACGGAGCTTGCGTGGAGCTAGAATCTAGGGATGAGCAAACCCTGTCGTACTTCGGGGAGACCCTATTTGCAGGATGGTCCTGCAACGAAATGCTGCAGGATGGAAAACGCCTCCAGAACCAACCCACCACAAACCCAGAACCAAGCAGCGAACCAAGACACACAGAAACACAGTGAGACACAGACACCTGCTCCACAGACCACGACAGACCACACAGGAGATCCCTCATGGATATTATCGGGAGGAAGCTGCCCTTGGGTGGAGATGACGACCTGCTTTCGGACAGCAGCAGCGTCGTCGAAGTAGAGGGCGGCGCGGACGATTCCACGAGGCAGCAGTCAAGCACACAAGACCAGCAGCAGCAACAGGAAGCTAGAGCAGGGGAAGGAACAGCAGGAGATTCAGGAATAGCCCCAGAGCAAATGGTAAGGGATGAATGCAGGTCGGCGAAGCAGGAAGGATGCAGGTCGGCGTCTCGACCCTAAATGGAAGATCAGACGAGCACTTGACACGCGATACGCGCCCGACCGACCGCCCACACGCCAATAGCATAATCATTCCTTACGTCTTTGTTCTAACGTCAACAGCAGTCAAACGTAGGCAGTAAAGAGCAACAAAGAGAAGCTTTGAGAGCAGCAGGAGCAGCAGGGCGCGATAACTCAACAGGAGATGTTCCGGGGGATGCCCAGGGAGGGGATGCAGTGAGGATCAACACAGAAGCAGATCGAAAAACAAATAGTTTTTCAAGTTTTGTTGGCATACGTGGGGCCGCATACGTGTACCAGGATGCACGTACTA